CCCCCTCCTTTTTACGGGGAGGATATTGGGATAATCTAGGACAGGAAAAGTTTGGATGTATTAGGTTAATTTGTTACAATTGAATAGTGTCCAAAAGGAAGTGTATCAATACCATTTTCGAGTATATATCTTTTGTTATCATTGGATGTTAATGCAGTCTTCTCTTGCACAATTGTATATAGTCTATGGTTAAAGCTTCTGATTGTTTTGAAACTTGCAACATGAACTTGGTTTTCAAATAAACACTTTTTAAAATGTTCAAATTTGAGTTTCTTCTTCAAATATAAACTTTTGATTCCTTTTGCCTTTTTTATTACACCAATATCACTGTCAGTACTTCCAGTGTATAATTTTAATGAGTATAGCTTCGACATCAGTGCTACTACTTCTTCCAAAGGGATTCCATTTGTTTCGTCTTTGAACTTTCCTAACACCTTTTTGTGTTTACCATTGTCATAGTTATGATGATCCCTCGGGTAGTCAGAAAAGTCGAAATCGTCTTTATACATAAATGTTCGTAAATCTTCATACATATCATGAGTTTTGATCCAATAAAGGAATGCGTCGGTATCCATATATATAATTCCAATATTGTCTCTTCCGTAAAATGAAACCATCTTGTTATAATGAAAGTCGTACATGTGTGTTTTTGAAATGTCAAGTATACACATACCAACATACATAGGTCTATCCATTTTAATAGTAGTTTTGTCCATTGACACACAAACAAGATTTTCATTTATGATAATAGATGATTTAAAATTTGGTTGCCTTACAAGTTTTTCTACCTTTTTGGGATCCGATACTAACTTAACATTTTTATGTTTTCTTTTATTTTCTAAGGTCTTTCCAAATATCGCATTATTCATCAGCTTAAAAAAGTCCTTTTGGAAAGCTGATGATGCTGCAGCTCTTCTTTTTGTGTTTGAGTCAATATATGTTTTTAACCAACATGATTGATTAAACTGTAAAACACGGTGAACTTTTTTTAATTTTAGACCGAGTTCAATGGCTTGTTGGACAACCCAAAAATGGGCAACATAGCGTTTCTTGTCGTTAAGCGTCATCATCAGCTTAGGGTGTTTTCCCTCTGGTGGTATTTCGGATTTAGCTAATAGAGGTAAATCATAGTGATGATCATGAAGTGTGGATGGGTATTCAAAATCACACTCCATTATAAATCCGGTGTCGCCATTTTTTGGGATAGTTGTCACATCACCTAATAATATTGGATCAATCCATTGAAAATTACCATATGGAAGTGGGTTTGACATTGCCCACCCATATAAGTTATTAGCGTCAAAATACCCTAGATAAACTGATGGGTCCTCCTTCTTGAAGCCTGGAATGTGTTTATTATTTGCTTTTACATGTCGTGTAACACTCTGGGTAAGCCCTCCACGGATACTAGATTCAATCATGAGAACCATATCAATGTCTGTTAACAGCTGTAATGTACATTTTGTTTCTTTTAACATAGCTTGCCAAGCTAATCCAGGTGAGGTGTAAGAATGTAGTGGGTCTAATCCATAGGCCGCTATACAGGTGTTACGGAATTCCTCCATTATATCGCAAAGAAGTGTTACATCTAACTTCACATAAAAGTCACTATACTCGCCTAAGGTGTTCATTTTTAACTCGTTCCATACCTGGCAAGCATGTTGATAGTCTTCAGGGTCAATATTAGAATCATTTAACTGACTGTAAAATGCCTCAATGGGTGGCAGTGACGTCTCGTTGAATCTTTCAGGATTATCAATATAATCATAAGGGTACACTCCTTTACGAAGAACCAAATCCATTTTATCAGATGCAACAATCTTTTGAGTTTCAATAAAGTGTTCTCTTTGCAAATTAGCTGTCAATTTCTCTAAACTAGAAGCCATGAATCTAAAAGAGTCAACAAACCTTAATTTTATTTTACCCACTTTTTTCGAAAAACTTATAAATTTCTCCGTGCTTGTAGCTAAAACATCAATCGCCCCTTTGTCCCTACCTAATTCAGGAATTATGAAATGTGAGTCATATCCACTTAAATTGTGGAACACTACAGGGATAAACTTTGGTAATTTAAAATTAATGTTACACCTGTTGCAAGCAGGGCCTTTGTAAAAACCAGTCAGGTGATCATGATCACGCACACGCCTGTTGTCTTCTGTAAAACTACAGTCACAAAGGTAACATCTATCCGCACTTTCATGGAATGTCAATTCATCATGTTGAAGATTGTTCATCGGAACTACATAACTATACAGTTTTTCTACCTTATTAGCTATATCATACAGGTTATCTACAAATGTCTTAGCAGCATTTTCACCTCGATATACAAGTGGTTGGGTTGTTAACCCATACCGACGTAGATGATCTTCTTCCAAAGTTGATTTAAGCATTAAACAAAAGCTGTTTGGTTCATGAAATTGAAATTTTTTAATTTTACTTTGATCACACTCATCTATAACTAAAGGAACTAATGATGACTCAAAGTCTGCATATATAACAATTGGTATTCGATATTGTTGAGCGGTTTTGTTGAATTTAATAAAAGCTCTATTAGGGGGAGGTAATTTAACCCTTACTTCATCCTTACTATTGCAGAGACGTTGGTGGTCAAGTAACCATTCCTTACCACCCATCTGAAATGGTTTGGCAACATAGCAAAAACAACGTTTGCAAATAGTGAGTCTCATCTTCCTTTTGGATAGTTGTCTTGATAAAAGTGCATTAAAGTTTTTGATGTATACATAATGTGAGATTTTACCATTTGTGAGGAGTAAAAGATCAGTATGGTCTTTACGCTCATGAGATGTAACCTGAATGGGAAAAACATTATTAGACTCATCCAATCCATAGACATTAACTGATGAATTAAGATTCTGTTTTTCAAATCTCTTGATATCTTTTAAAGACACTGGGTAAGACAAACCTGAGAAATTATATTTATGAGCCACTTCACTATAATACCGGCTAGGTCTATAGGCATTCCTATCTTCAACAAACTTTGCTAAAAGTGCATATTTAAAACATTCATTGTCCTCATTTTGAACATTTATACAAGTTCTTGTATCAGCAATTTTTTTAGGCAGTGGAATGAAACTACTACCTCTATCACCATATCCATGTTTATGTACACGTATATCTAAACTGTCTACACTTAGCAAAGACCACCCAGATCCTCTTCCTTCATGTTCAGATATTTTAACAACAATTTCTTGTAAGCAACTGTCGACTTCAGCCTCTATATCACTGGTTACCATGATCGATTTATTTCGTGTTATAAACCCCCGCGGGGAAACCTCATTTTGCACATTTGTAAATCTAGTGTCCAAGAGCAAGCCGAATTTGATAAAATTAAGTCTGGTTAGTTCCTTTTCTAGTGTTTCTATGATAAGGGGTTTAGCTTTTAAAATAAAATCTGACAATTCATAATTGTTATTAGAAATTTTGAAATGGTTTACTATTGCTTTAGGAAATGCTTGAGCTAATATTTCTACTGACAATTGTTGGTTTGGTGGTGCATACTGTATAACTGTTGATCTATTCTGTTGCAAGAAGGGGTCTTCAACGAAATCTTCATATTCCATCGGTGCTGAAGATTCATTAGGTCTATGTAAGAGTTCATGATGAATATTTAAGAGCAATTCATCCTCAAAAGACTCCCAACAATTTTCACATTGATACATTTTTGCAGGTTTAAGACACTACTTAGAAAACTATCTACATTACACACTGCATGGTTGTATTCACAGTAATGATATGGGTGGGGCTCAGGACTCATATATATAGCACAGTGTATAACCCCCACTCCATTTTTATTCAATGAAGGGGCGTGTTAAACCCCCCACCAATGGCTTAAGTATTTTATAAATAACACCTGAAATAGGGGTTTAGCATACACATTCACAATGCCTCCTACAGACCACACATACCTTACTGGAGTAGAGCCCAGAATCTTACCGACTGATTTTGATGAAGCAGGGAATGTGGAAGAAAACAATACAGAAAGTGACGAGGACTTGCAAGAGATGCTAGAAGAACAAGTGGACGAAGAGTTTATTAATGAACAAATTCAACCCACTGAAGACACACCAATTAAAGAATTTCATTCGGACTATTGTGAAACACCAACGATTCCAGTTCAAGCAGATGAAGTTGAAAATGGTGAAAACAAACTTTGTCGAATATTACAGTTTTGTGGTAATGTTCGTAGAAGATTATCATTTAGTTCAGAGAGTGAATCATAAAACATGTAGCTATTTTATTGTTTTTTAAAAATTCTTCAGTTTGACCTTGACCTAATTGTTTGGGCACAGTATTACGCTTTAACAATATTCTATGACTGTATTGGTCTTAATTATGAGTACCTAAAATGATTTGGAATATTAACAATAGATAAGGTTTTCATAAGAAAAACTAAACATAAAATTCAAGCACATTTTATTTTTGTCTAAATAGAAAAAACAAATAATGACAAAATATAAAATATATTGTAAACAGTTTTTGTATTGAACTAATATGAAGTAAATTTTGTTTTGCTAAATAAATGCTATTTTGATTTAATTTGAAAGTCCAGGAATAATTTAAAGTTTAAGTATAAAGATAAGAGTTCAAAAACAATAGAATATATATATATATATGGAGGAATTAGCCTGAGAAAGTTACTACAAATAAGTATATATATGTATATATTTTACCTTGAATTGTTAAGTTATACAGCATGGCATTGAAGAAATATAATCTTTATTGTACAATATGAACGATTAAAATGTTAAATATAACTTGGTCTAAATATATTATACACAAAACTTTAGGAACACATTATAAGGTTATGACAAATGTGTTCCTAAACCTTTACGATAAAATAGGTTGAAAAGCTCAAGGTCACTCTTTGAATGCAAAAATTGGGAACGCATTTGTTATGATACAACAAATGCGTTCCCAATTTTTGCATACTAAAGGAAAATAAAGAAAATAATAAAAACACGTTAAAACTAAAAACCAATTTACAATGTTACTGTAACCAATCCCGAAGACCGATCACGAATTAAGTAGTATCGGTGTGGTGTATTCGGGATGGTCATGCCTCTTGGTAATTTAAGGCGGAACCTGTCATTTCCTTCTTTTAAAATGACTTCACCACTAGGTGTCATCATTAGAATTTCTAACTTTTTGTTTTTGGGCAACCTATTAATTCTGGTTTTTTTGGCAATAATTTGTGGTGGACGACAGGGTCGAGCAAAGCCTGACGTCCGTGGTTGGCTGGGTAAGATCTTGTTTATCACAACAACACGGGAGGTGCTCGGTGCCGGATCAGATAAGCAAGATTTTTCCTGAGCCTGATTTTGTACAATAATTGATGGTCTTGATCTTTCAAATGATGGAGGATTTTCTGTGACAGGATTATTATTAACAATTTTAGGTTGGGCGGGTACCATCCTGCTTTTCCCCTTAGTGTGGAGGCTACACACATTGGTATCGGAAAAGCAGGATTTTTCACAGCGCTCACCTTTTTTCACCCCTTTTTGGAAAACATAAGTACATTGAGACTTGATCTTAAATGCTGCTCGTCTTTTTGCCATAAGTTTTTGCATTTTTTCAGAAGGGGTTTTTTGTGAGGGAAGGGATTCTTTTGAGGACTCGGGTTTTGCAAATAGTTTTCTTACAACAGCAGGTGCAGCAGGGAGGGATTTGGGTGGAGGTAATGGAATGGTTATTTCAGGAGAATCTATGTTGGTAATCTGGTTTGAGGATGGATTTAAATTAGGAAGAGTTAGGTTAGGTGTTTGAGGTTTTGGAGATGACTTATCTTTGTTAGGAGATGACTTGTTTTTGAGAGGAGACGGCTTATCTTTGGGAGGAGATGGCTTTTCAGGAGATTTGATAGGGGATAGTAAGGAGACAATCAAGGGAGAAAGTAGCATTGATAGGGGGGACATATTTCTTTGTTTTCGGGGGGATGACGTAGAAGACGAGGACGAGGATGATGAAGACAAGGAGTCAAAAGACGAGGATGAAGAAGAAGAAGACGATGGCGATGATGGAGGCCTAGGTTTCAAAGTGTTGGCAGCAGAAGAAGAAGGTCCAGGCTCTTGAATATTCTTGACGATAGAAGTTGACGATCCAGGCTCTGGAGAAATCTTGGAGACAGGCAGAGGCTTTGAAGTGTTGGCAGCAGCAGAAGGTCCAGAAGAAGTGTTGGCAGCAGCAGAAGAAGGTCCAGGCTCCTGAATCGTCTTGGAGACAGTACATTCTTTCCTTATTTCCCCATTCAATGCCTGGAGAAGTTTGGACCTTTTCACTCCAGCCACCGGCTTCATCGGCTTAGTGGTCTTTCTGAAGCAGGGGTCCATGGCTCTTCTGCAGGCAGGCAACAGAATGATGTTATTAACCAAAATGCTCTCACATATATACCCACTCCAAGTGGTGGGGGATATAGGTATAGGACAGAGTGGGGGAAGTTAGGAGTGTTGTAAAAGGGTGGGGAGTGGGAAATAATTATATCTAATAGGAAGAGTTTGGCTATGGAATGATAAACTATTTTCAAAGATAAAGTTTCAACTAACCAATCATAAAAGTAGGTCAAGGTCATCCTCTATTAAAAAAAAACCGAAAGCCATGCAAGAAAAATAGTAGTGCAAAGATTCAAACTACCAACACCAAAACACAACTACTGGTGCATAGTATCTACAAGACTATCTACAAGTAAGACTACAACAGTACATGCATGAAGAACCTGAAAATGATTAGACATATAGACAAGATTTGAATAGGGTATGGAGATCTAAGTACAATTGGTTTTCATGCCATTTTGCACTTTAAGGAAACACATAAGGTTTTCTTGCCTCTATGTGTGTTAAGGAAGGATAGAGTTTAACCTGAAAATGATTAGACATATAGACAAGATTTGAATAGGGTATGGAGATCTAAGTACAATTGGTTTTCATGCCATTTTGCACTTTAAGGAAACATCAGGTTTTCTTGCCTCTATGTGTGTTAAGGAAGGATAGAGTTTAACCTGAAAATGATTAGACATATAGACAAGATTTGAATAGGGTATGGAGATCTAAGTACAATTGGTTTTCATGCCATTTTGCACTTTAAGGAAACACATAAGGTTTTCTTGCCTCTATGTGTGTTAAGGAAGGATAGAGTTTAACCTGAAAATGATTAAACATATATACAAGATTTGAATAGGGTATGGAGATCTAAGTACAATTGGTTTTCATGCCATTTTGCACTTTAAGGAAACATCAGGTTTTCTTGCCTCTATGTGTTAAGGAAGGATAGAGTTTAACCTGAAAATGATTAGACATATACATTGGAGGTCAACCTGCAAACAAAATAAACAACAAGTTAGTTAACCAGAAAACAAAACAAGTGAATATAGTAATGCAACAACAAGTTAGTTAACCTGAAAGGAAAAAACAAGTAAACATAGCAATTCAACAAAAGATTAGTTATTATTAACCTGAAAAAGAAATGAGCTGATATATGAATGCGGGCCCAACATTGCATAAGTTAGCTCACCGTTCATCACTTGATGTGCAGCTTGCTTGTGCACATGATGTGTACCTGGCAAGAGCACGTGATGAACAGTGAAGTTTGAAAGAACTCCAACTAGTTTTATGCGCTCTGGTGGGGGGCCGGGCTATATGGGGGTGTGGTCTACTCAGCCAATCACAGGACAGGTGGTGTAGTGGGGAGGGCTCACTGGGGGGCGTGGTCTACTCAGCCAATCAACGGACAAGTGGTGTAGTGGAAGTCTCGCAATAATGAAGCAAAGGGGGGGGGGGTGTAACTAACACGTGCAGCTACTAATCATATTTGTATCAATCCAAAACAATATACATGCTTAAAACTGAAGTAAAGTCCATTAAAAGGTATAAGTTGTTCGCTTAAGAATGGTATATAATCAGAGAAACAATTTTCTTCAGGCCTCAAGAACAAGATATTAAATCAATTAAATTACTAACCAAGCTAATTACAATATGAGAATACAACAACATTTAGCAGACACCAATATGTAACCCATGCAATATATTTAATTATACATGTAGATTTCAACTAATATATCACATCATTTCAGCTACGCAAACACAATATGGAACAGAGAATAATTAGACCTACCTATTTCAGTAGAAATCAGGAACACTTGGTGTATAAAGTTAGGCCACGATAACTCTAGAAAAGAAAATGCACATTAAATTTATTAAGTATTGTAACCATTTTATGCATTTATTTTGAAAAAAAAAATCTTAAGCAAGCTATATTTTAATTTCAAATTATCAGAAGATACATAAAACGGTTTTGTTATTGCTTAAAGACCTATGAGATAGTTTGATTATTGTTTTCAAACCATTCCCAATAACAATCAAATAAGGAAATCACTGACAGCATTTTCTATCTTAAACAATCGTATAAGAATCATCTTCATCAAGCTACATTTTAACAAAGTCAAAATTCAAACCTTTGAATGATCACAAAAACAGTTTTATTACTGTCGCAAGAAGGAAAAAGTTATCAGTTATTTTCAATCAAATAAGAAAATCACTAACATTATTTCCATTATAAACAATCGTATAAGGAAACACCTACATTTTAACATATATTAAATTAATCGAAAGATCACAAAAACTGTTTTATTATTTAAAAACCTAGCAGTGTGAAGCGATTCCCAATAAAGCTATATTTTAACAAAGTCGAAATTCAAACCTTTGAATGATCACAAAAACAGTTTTATTACTGTCGCAAGAAGGAAATAGCCATCAGTTATTTTCAATCATATACAATTCCCAATAAAAATCAAATAAGAAAATCACTAACATTATTTCCATTATAAACAATCGTATAAGGAAACACCTACATTTTAACAAAGTCAAAAACATATATTAAATTAATCGAAAGATCACAAAAACTGTTTTATTATTTAAAAACCTAGCAGTGTGAAGCAATTCCCAATAAAGCTACATTTTAACAAAGTCGAAATTCAAACCTTTGAATGATCACAAAAACAGTTTTATTACTGTCGCAAGAAGGAAATAGCCATCAGTTATTTTCAATCATATACAATTCCCAATAAAAATCAAATAAGAAAATCACTAACATTATTTCCATTATAAACAATCGTATAAGGAAACACCTACATTTTAACAAAGTCAAAAACGTATATTAAATTAATCGAAAGATCACAAAAACTGTTTTATTATTTAAAAACCTAGCAGTGTGAAGCGATTCCCAATAAAGCTACATTTTAACAAAGTCGAATTTCAAACCTTTGAATGATCACAAAAACAGTTTTATTACTGTCGCAAGAAGGAAATAGCTATCAGTTATTTTCAATCATATACAATTGCAATTCATAATAAAAATCAAATAAGAAAATCACTAACATTATATCCATTATAAACAATCGTATAAGGAAACACCTACATTTTAACAAAGTCAAAAACGTAAATTAAACTAATCGAAAGATGACAAAAACTGTTTTATTATTATTTAAAAACCTAGCAGTGTGAAGCGATTCCCAATAAAAATCAAACAAGGAAATCACTAACATTTACTTCCATCTCAAACAACCATATAAGAAAGAAGCAATTTATAATTCATCAAATGATCACAAAAAGCAGATATGTTACGATTTTAGACCTAACAGTATGTGAGGTAATTCTCGATAAAAATCAAATAAGAAAGAAGCAATCTATTCCAGCTATATTTTACTAAAGTCAAAAGACTTAATTTAGAAGTTATCAAATGATCACAAAAAGCAGTTATGTTATGATTTAACACATAACAGGATGAGAGGCTATTCTCAATAAATATCACTAACAGTTTCTTCCATCTTAAAAATTTGAATCAAACTATATCTATATATAAATCCAAAAGCACCCATAAACTTTTGAGAAAACTAAAAGTCACACCCCCATTATTGAGCGAAGCTCACTTTCCCTCACTTTGTAACTTCTTTATAAGAGCATCAGAATGTAATGGCTTGACCAATTAATATGAAATTTGGCCAACAGCTAAACAATACTGAGTACAATGTTTTGGTAAAAAATATTTCCGAATTTCCTTCTGGATTTTATTTTACGGGTCACGCAATTTCGCTTGTTATTTTAATGTAAGTTGAAATAAAAATTATATTGGGTTTATGACATATGGGTTTATCTCATTTCATTTAAATAAGATAAACATATATTAATTGTTTGTAACTGTTTTGTTTACATTTCAATGTTTACTTTCATCCTAGGTTAAAGTTGGAATGTAACAGTTTATCAATGGAAGTAACAGTTTTGCTATATTTGTTTGTTGCTCAAAGGCCCAACGTAATATTGGTCGTCGCACCAATAATGCAAATATTGTAAGAGAGTGGTGTCGTGAACAAAAAGAACCAGATGAAGCTGATAATGATAGGCAGATAGCTAATCAATTCCAACATGAATTAGATGCACTAAAATTTTACACTTTGGACTAACTGTCATCAGCAACGACTAACAGCTTCAAATCAATTACCAATTTGTTCCCGTTGTCGTTCAAATGCAACGTAATTCACGGCGTTAAATAATATGGATGTGTCAAGTGCCCCGAACGAATTAACTGACCTGGCGATTGTAGAACAAATTTTGATTGCACGAGTACATCCTGCTATGCACATTTACAAAGTACAAGCAAATGGTCAGGATGGCCAGTTTCACTACAAAGGTACAGTATGAACTATCAGATAAATTTGTCATTCTTTAGAACTTAAATAATATCGGGCAAACAAACGGTGCATCTGTTGAAAGGGAACATATTGTAGGGTGTTAGCTGCTTTAGCCATTGACAATCTTTAAATAATGCTTCGCTCATTTATGCGTCTAAAGTGTAACGGCAGACCACCTTAGTATTAGCGGGAAGTCTCAAATCAAAGAAATAAAATTACCCAAACTTAAATTACGCAACACAGGCTATCAGTTAGGCAACAGTTTTCTTTAATTCTCAATGCTGTAAAAACTTTGTTGTAACATGTTAACCCAAATTGAAGCAGATCGTTTAGCATTCATTGGAAGTTATCAGTTAAAACTGAGAGCAAAAAAAAAATAATGTAGGCAAACCTTTTACAACACAAAAAGAGATATTTAAAATTATTTTCTAACAAGTGTTTAAACAACTCTAAGATATAGCTAGAATTACTCAAATTGAAGCACGGGTTCTCTAGTACTAATATAATAATAGTTATAAATATATGCCACAAGAAAGATTAATTGCCTGTATGAATAAAATCTATTACAAAATATGAGACACACATTAAATGATTAAGCAATCTTAATTCAACTGTCTCATATTGAAAAACTACTAATTTAATATATATAGA